CTACACACACACACACACACACACAATATTTGTATAAGAAATATGAAAAATGGCGTCTGCGTTAGAAAATTTAGAAACACAGTTAGAGCTTTTTATTGAAAATGTAAGGCAAATACGTATTATAGTGAGTGATTTTCAACCTCAAGGACAAAATGTATTGAATCAAAAAAATGTAAGTAATGTATGTTGATAATCTTTCTACAATCCTTTTTATTAAATAAATATTTAATATTATTTCATAAAATTTTCATTCATTCGTACTAAAAAAAAATTAATTACAATTATTTTAAATATTGTTATTATTTGTAAAAAAATATTTTATTAAGATTGATAATAATTTTTCATGATTAAATAAAGTTTATAGAAACTTAAATATCATAAGTATGGTTAGTTATAATTAAAATTTAAATTATATTAAAATTTGTTCAAATATTATATTATATTATATGAATTTATACATATTCATACCTAAATATTTTAGTCAAGGTTTAGTAAATGGCTTACAAGAAATAGATAAGCTTAAATCTCAAGTTCAAGATGTTCATGTACCTTTGGAAGTTTTCGAGTAAGTATTTTAAAATCAAGAATCTTGTACAACAAAAATTTATATTTATATATTATATGTGATTTTAGTTACATTGATCAAGGAAGAAATCCACAATTATATACTAAGGATTGTATAGAAAAAGCATTAACTAAAAATGAACAAGTAAAAGGAAAAATCGATGCTTATAGGAAATTTAAAGCAAATATGCTTGTAGAATTAACTAGAGTTTTTCCACAAGAATTAGCAAAATATAGAGCAATACGTGGAGATGAATGAATTGAATATAAAGTAAATTATCTAAATCAATGCAATATTTTTTTGTTAAATTTTTTATTGTATTTTAATCACTTATATAATAAATATTTATTAAAAACACAAATTTTTATTATACATGTCCTATGAACATAAATTGTTGTGATATAATTGTAATATAAATTGTAATTTAGATTTTGTACAATAAAATATAATAAAATAATTAAAAATAAAAATCAATATGATAATAAAAATAATATATCAATAAAATATGATATATTTAAGTCACAATAATATTTTATGTTATTTATTTTGAAAAAAATATAAAAAAATTATTTATCTTAATTCTGTTTTGATTGATAATATATTAAATGATTTATTAATTGATTAAAAAAAAAAGTATTGATTCCACTTTGAAATATCTTGTCCAATCAAAATGGATTTGGTTTACGTCACGGAGCAAATAAAATCATTCGAACGAAATCGTATTTAGTCATTCGAAAGACGAATCTGTGTTCGGATAAAACTTACGATAAAATTTATTAATATGATCATTTTGTTACTTATTATTTTCGTTGTTCAAGTCAAAACAAATGAAAATGTTGAGAAATTCTATAGGTAAGTTTTATATTATCTTTTTATATTTTCGAAATAAAATTTACAAATAACTTTATTGTTTTTAATAACTTTGTTATAACTAATGCATAGCATATAACAATTAAAGATGCATTTTTTATTTAAAAAATTTTATAAATTCTATAAAATTTTTTGAACTTTAATTTTACTTTTTAAACACATCAAAATATATCTATATATATAAAAGTTTCTCATATTTACAAATGTATACATATCGATATGATATTTATACAATTATGTATACATAAAATTTTAAACATGACTTCATAATTATCATTAGAAATCATGAGTGAATAAAATAAAAAAACATATTGAATGTATAAAAATTGAATGTGAAGGAAAGAGAAAGAGAGTTTTGTTCCATTTTAACTTTTGTAGACTGTAGTGAAAGCAACAGGTATATTCCATAGGTAGTATAATATATATCAAAGTATATATAGCATCTATGTATGTATGTATACATAGCATCTATGTATTTATGTATACATCGTAAATCATTAATAAAATGAAATATAAGACAAAAATAAAATTAAATATAGAAGAATATAACAATGTCAAAATCGTATTAGTTTTTTAATTAGTTTAAAAATTATTAATTAATTTATATTATTAATTAATTGTTATATGTATATTTTCATTCATAAAAATATATGTAATATAATCTTTTTTTTTTATTTTATTTTGTTTCTTTTCTTATATGGTAATAAATAATTAATAATAAAAAAATATTTTATTTAAATATTTTAAAACAAAGAATAACGCATAAAAAAAGAAAAAAAAAGATAGAATTAGATTAATTTTTTCTACAGTTTTCCATGGCATTATAAATGTGAGAATGGTTTCTGTAAAAAAGAATTAATTACAAAGGAAGTAATTACACCTACTTCATTGGAAGTATGTGAATTATTTTGCGATGCATCAAGTTCCTTATGGCCAAAACCAACTGGTCACTTATCTTTGAGTAAATATATGGTTCAACTTGATCCTGATAAAATTTTCTTAGCAAATTTACAAAATGGAACACAAATTAAATATCTACTTGAAAAGAATATATTTTTATTAAAAAATAATGTGAAAAATAGCGGTAAATTAGCAAAAAATGGTGGAGTGAGTATGCTTATTCGATGCATAGATTACGAAGAAATAAACAATATTAAATTGACTTTGAATACGGACGAAAGTTACAATTTAACTATAATACAAATAGATGAAATGGTGAGCATATTAATAGTTATGTAAAATTTATTTTGTTCTTTTTTCTTTCAATATAAATAAAAAAAAATAGGATGAAAGAATAAAGATGATGAAAAAAAAAAAGAAAGATCGAAAATATTTTTTCACATTAATATTTGCTAATATAATGTATGAAGGAATTTTGACATTTTAAAACAGGTTTTAGATTTTGTTCGTTGAAGAACTGGAATTATTAAAATTTTATATTTAATGAAAAAAAAAATTTATTATATATGTATGCTATCTAAGCATAAATATCAATATTTTATAGATAATAAAACGATTGAATGATTTCGATAATTAGTTTTTTTTTTATTTTTATCCTATAACATAGCTATTGGAAGCAACTATTACGGCGAAATCATATTTCGGTGCAAGACATGCTTTAGAAACATTAAGTCAAATGATTGTTTTTGACGATTTAAGGAATGAGATTCAAATTCCCAATGAAATATCAATTATTGATGGACCTGCATATCCTTATCGTGGTATATTATTAGATACTAGTAGAAATTTCATTGACAAGGCAACGATATTACGAACAATTGATGGCATGGCCATGTCAAAGTTAAATACTTTACATTGGCATATCACTGATTCTCACAGTTTTCCTTATGTTAGCAAAACGTGGCCGAATTTTTCGAAATTTGGCTCTTACTCGCCTGAAAAGATTTATGATGAAAATGATGTGAAAGAAATCATTGAATACGGTCTTATTCGTGGCATTAGAATATTGCCGGAATTTGATGCTCCTGCTCATGTAGGAGAAGGTTGGCAATGGGTAAAATTATTTTTGACTTTTTTATTTTTGTTCGTTTCGTATAATGTTATTAAAGAAAAAAGAAAATTTAATTATATGATTTTACTTCATTTTTAGATCGGAAACGATACAATTGTTTGCTTTAAAGCGGAACCATGGAAAGATTATTGCGTTGAACCTCCTTGTGGTCAATTAAATCCAGCTAATGATAAAGTATATGAAATTCTTGAAGGAATATATAAAGATATAATGTTGGATTTTCAACCAGATTTATTTCATATGGGTGGAGATGAAGTGAATATAAATTGTTGGAGGTCTTCGACTTCTATTACAAATTGGATGCAAACTGTTAAACATTGGGATCTATCGGAATCAAGTTTCTATAAACTTTGGCATTATTTTCAAGAAAAAGCAATTGATAAATTAAAAATTGCTAATAATGGAAAAGAGATACCTGTTATTTTGTGGACTAGTGGCTTAACAAATGAGGAAAATATTAAATATTTAGATCCCTCAAAATATATAATTCAAGTTTGGACAACCAAAAATGATCCTGTTATTGGTAGATTATTGCGAAATAATTTTAAAGTAATTATTTCTAATTATGACGCTCTCTATTTAGATTGTGGGTAAGTGAATAAATATTTTCAAATTAAAAACAAATAATATGTTTATAATTAATATTCGATTTTATCTTTGTCCATATTTTTATTTCTTTTATATTGTTTTTATATTTCTTAGTTTTTCAGCTTGGGTAGGTGAAGGTAATAATTGGTGTTCTCCTTATAAAGGATGGCAAATTATTTACGAAAATTCTCCTTTAAAAATAATAAAATTGCAACATTTGGAAAATAAAAAAAATTTAATATTAGGTGAATATTTTTTTTATGTTTATGAAATGAAAATTGCAATGTTTTATCTGCAATATTTGATTAAATTTTTTTTTAAATATTTAAAAATTGATTAATAAAGAAAGATTATGAAATTTATAAAAAAATTGCAATTGTTTGAAATTAATAATTAATAACAGTATAAATAATTTTATAATTTATTGTACATATTTTTATATTGTTATAGGAAGTGAAGCAGCTCTTTGGTCAGAACAAGTTGATAGTGCATCAGTCGATGCGAAAATTTGGCCTAGATCCGCGGCACTTGCCGAGAGATTGTGGTCTGAACCAAATTCAGGTTGGATTCATGCGGAACATAGAATGCTTAGGCATAGAGAACGATTTGTAAAAAGGGGAATCAGTGCAGAAAGTTTACAACCTGAATGGTGTTTACAGAATCAAGGCCATTGTTATGCATAATTTATCTTTAGAAAAGCAATGAATAAATAACAATGATTATTTCTTTTTTTCTTTCTTTCTTCTCTTTTTTTTTCTTTCTATCTACTTTTATAAGTTAAACATTCAATTTAAACATTATGATTTTATAGATAAATCTTTGTTGTAAATTAACTATTTTTCTTTTATATTTTTTTATTTCTAAAAATTTTCTTCTTTATCATCAAACGGTGTTTTTACAAAATAAGTTATCAAAGTTCCTTTTCCTTTAACATATGTAGGGCCTCGGCATATTAATTCATAACCAGCCGCGATTAAAATTTTGGCTGTGTCTTCGGTAACTTGAACTTTACCCATTTCTCCACAACTATCCATTCTTGATGCTACGTTTACGGTATTACCCCAAATGTCATATTGAGGTTTCTGTGCTCCAACCACACCCGCTATTACAGGTCCGTGATTTAAACCTTAAAAATTTTTTTTATATAATCTAATGTATATATAATATAATAATAATAATAATAATAATAATAATAATATATTCTTATTTTCCTTTTTTCTACTTTATAAGAAAAATTCTATGTTTTATATATTATTATATTAATAAATTTGTCAATAATTTTTTTATTTATGTTACTATAAATTATTCACGAAATTTTTGTTTAATATGTTTAACGAGAAATTAATATTATATACAGTTTCATATTATTTTTTAAAAAAACTTACCTATTCTTAACTTAAATTTTTGAAAAGATTCCTTGTTAATTTGATCTAAAATTGTCATCAAAGCAAGAGCAAATTCAACAAGAATAATTATATTATGATTTTCTTGTTTTAAAAGTTCCTGAAAGTTAAGAAATAAAATTTATAATTTTGAGAAAAAGTTTAATTGAGAGTTTAAAATATAACGTTAATATTATATTGTTCTAATGACAGAATGGTATATATTATATATACGTGAACGAATTAAAATATGTTTTTACCTTTTCGTCAGTACCTTTCCCTGGACTAAGACCAGAAGCTAACATATAAGTACTTCCAATAGTTTTAATCTTTTCAATTCCAGAAAATTTTGGTTTAAGTAATAATTTATCAAAATCACATATAATTTCATTTAGAAGTCTTAAACATTCCAATCCCTGTTTATTTATATCCGTTTCATCATAAAATTCCTTGTAATTCGGAATGGATGCAAACATAACGGCAATACTACTGTATCTTTCATGATAAAGATCCTATAAAAAAATTCAAAAGCATATAAAAAATTTTCAAACAATTTTTATGTTCGCTTTGAATACATATTCAAATATAAAATGTTGAATATTCACCTGAATTGCTCGAACGTTTGTTAAAAAGTGCTCTGCTACATGAGCAGGTAGTATATTTTCGAGAAGAATTTTATTAATACCTCTCATAGTTTCAACTTCATCCTGTTCTATTTTTAATTACTTTCCCATAAAAAATCTGTTCTTGAAGTATATTCAATTTGCCTATCCAAAACATGAAGTACAAGACAAACAAGTAAGAGCAAACAACCAATTTGAAATAAATAATGAATGCGATAATATCTGTGAAATAATTTTAAAAGTTCAATATTATCTAAAAATATATTCTAAAAAAAGATAAAGAAAGAAAATTATTCTTCAAGACAAATATTTTAAAGAATATTTTTCAGAAATAAAGAGACAAAATAAAAATTAAATAAAAATAAATATGAAGTCAATTATAAAACATGCGAATTTATAATTGTATAGATGGAAGTGAGATATAAGTGTAAGAATTATTTTTTTAAATAATTATTTTTTTATTTATTTAGTGATTTTTACTTACTCGATAACATCAATCATATGATATAATTGAACGATCGGTGCTTGTGAAAATGCAACAACGATTATTGCTATCGAGATAAACATTGTACAGAATTTTATTAGAAAATCAACGCGTAAATGCGTCCAACCAACAACCAGAGACATTACCGCAGTATATACGTATAACTAAAAAAATATTATTCCTTTGTATAAAATTATATATTTTTGTATTATACGATATTTATATGTATTTAATAGATATTAATACGTACTGGTACGACGATATCATATTTATTTATTTGTACAATATCATTCAATAATAGACTAAGAATAGATGATGTAATCGTTAAAAACACTGTTATTAAATATACTATTATCCTGACTTCTCTATTCAAAGATAACCAATTCCAGATACTGTTACCTTTAGTCTTAATGTTAAACCAAGATAATACGGAAAAAATAAACAAAAATGATAAAACAGGAAAAAAGCAACTGTAAACTATGACACTCCTGTAAAAAATGTTACGTATAATATAATATATGTAATTCATTTTAGATTATTAGATATTAAAATTTCTTAGTAATCTGACTAAAATCATATAAATTAACTGATTAATGCATGCTTGCCTTGGTAAATATATAATTTGAATGCCAAAAATCATAATATATATAGTAGTTGAAGCGAGAAGATACCATGGATATTGTTCATCAATCTGTTGACGATATTGAAATTCTTGATCTTGATCATTAAATCGATAAGTAATGGATGACATTCCTTCATTGCCTTGATATCGTTGTCTGTTATCCAATAATCATATATTAATATATAGAATGTCTCAAAAAAGTGGAAATAATTTGTTAAAGTTTAAGTGAATATGCTTAAAATAAGTTCAAACAACATTTTTCTTTGCGAAAACTTTACAATTTCATTAATGAATTATTAACAAAAAATAGTGGTCAATCAGCGCGTTAGACTAATCAAGTCGCGACAGTAGTGTTGTATACATCAGTAGACAAAATTTAATAGTTGAAATTGAAAAATAAAGTTCAATAAGTTACTTTAATAATTTAATCATTGAATAAATGCAAATAACTTTAATGCTAAATGCCGAATTTATAATAAATAATAATAAAGAATGGATCAACTATAATAATTATAAAATAAATGTTATTCAAGTATTTTTATAAGTAATTACTTAAAGTAATTTTATTCAATTTTTAAATAATTATTTTTTAACGGCACAACTCTGATTGTATATATGCTATTGATCGGATACATTTAAGCACCACGAAAAAATCTGTTGATAATATAAAATAAAATAATATTTTTTTATCAAAAAAAAAAAAAAAAAAAAATTAATATTAGCTTGAAATTACGAATCTTTAATTAATCGATGTTTCCACATTTTCGGGGCATATATATAGGATGCATAAATATGTGTGTATATAAAATTTATAAAAATTGAGAAAAAAATTTATAAAAAAAAAGAAAAAGATAACTCACTTCATATTGATGAAACAATTAGAATTACTGTTTATTAAAAGATTTGATTCAATCATGGCAATACTCTGAAATCAAAAAAAATATGTAGGAAATATATGAATATATTATAGACACCGAATTATTGATATTTGCTATTTATTTTTATTTTTAATTTAAATTTTTGTTTTAATAATATTTTTCATTTATATCATTATTACGAATAATATTTTTCTTTTATCAATTAATAAAGACAATAAATTGAATGATAATTAAATATTTAATTGACTTACTGTTAATCCAATATTTTTAGCAAGTGTGGCCTCTGCAATGTTAGCGAAAGGTTTATCTGCACCCCAACTCTCAAAATATTTCGTCATTTTACTACTTGGTCTTGATCTATTAAAAAACGAACATATAAATTATTTTAAATATGTTGTTGATGTTTTTCTTATTGCTTTTTTTATTTTCTTTTTATTTATATTATGATTAAAGAAATAGTAAAAAAAAACACGAGAAAATTTTTTAAAATTAATTTGATTAAAGTGAAAATAATGAAGAAGAAAAAGAACATGCTAATAATTTTAAAAGTTGACGACTCTATTATGATATGTTTATATAAGCAAAAGGGTTAAAAAATAATAATTACATTTAAAGCGAAAATTAAACGCGAAGAGATGATATTGTAGGCGGCTTGGATACGTTAATAGAGCAGAAATATCGAAATTGAACGATGAGCCATGTTCACCTTGACGGTATGGAGACAGTACTGCGGATATGTTCACCATTATCATTCATGCGATTTTCTTGACTGGTTTTCTTGATTGTAATATGAGAAAAATCATTATTAAAACTAATATTATTAAAATAAAATTAGTTCATACGGTCAAATTATAATAATATATATTAATCGAATAATTGTCTCTATTTAATGTAAATGTTTTTAATATATATATATATATATATATATATATATATA